TCCCAACTCCTGATTGTAATACATTTTTGCTAAAGCAAGGAGAACTCAGGTAGCTCAAGCTACCTTTCGTGATATGACCGCCACCACAGCGCTCGGCACCCCCGCAGATTTTCTCAATTCTTCTGCAACGGCGCCTGGATCTCAAAGGCCAAGTGCTGCGGAAGCTTCCCATGAGCCGCAAACCTCCCCGGAGGGTCGAGTGAGAACTGGAATCCGGTACGAAGCTCAAATGGGCTTGAGAAATGGAGGACGAGCTCAGAGCTCGCCATGTAATGTTTAGCCCAGATTGCCAGGTGTTTGACGAGCGCCTGTGGACCTGGATGATTATGGGTATTTATGGGTTTCCTAGTTTCGTACTATATTTAAGATCGTGCTATATTATACCATGTGTATATATATATATAGACATATAGATATTAAATTGTTACTATTCCAAATTTTATACTTAGCTTTGCTATACTATATGCCAATATCCTACTATTATACTATATAGTCACATAGTATACATGACATATATGTATACATGCATATAATATGTTCTCACATACGTGCCTATGGATGACTCCCTCACAGTTGCGAGCCTCTTCAGTGTATCCCAACAACACCACTCTCCGGCAAAGTGGTCCTATTTCAGCTGCAGTGGACAAGAGAGGGGGGGCCAACGCCGAGGGGCAAGAACACAGTGAGCTTGCAGCCAGCTGTCATTGGACCGTCCTGCACAATGGAAAGTGGAAGAATCTGGACGAAACCTCGTCAAGGATTCTAAAAGTAACGTTGGTGGCCAGTCAAACCTTTCCGAACAGCTCCGCCATGGACATTTCCAGCTCGCAATGGCTGGCAATGACTTATTTTTGAATGCTTGTCCGCTGAAAAAATGCGTGGACTTGAGATTGATCGTGAGTCTCTTGAAGGAAGGCTCGTGCGCCTTTTCAAGTCGGCGAGAGTGCCAGTTCTATTCTATCCGGTTCTGCTACCGCCGCCCTCCCAGTGCGGTCGGCGTGCACACTCCTTGCACATCTTGGTGTCAAGGACGTGACCCTTCTTGTGAAAGGCGCTCCGTAGAGGCTCGAGGCCCTGCTCCTGGTACATGGAGGAGCTAAACTTATCACTGAGCTCACTATCGGAACTTCTCCGCCCGAGCTCGGACGGGAGAACATGGAACAAACAACACATCCTTCATCGTCCTTCCCTCTCATTCACTGGTGTTCTCGCGTTCGCGGCTTGGCGCCGGCAGCTTTGGGCCGCCTCCGTCATTTTGGAGGGGCGGGACCGAGGTCCCGGTCCTCCAGCCAGGAACCGAAGGTCGCAACGACGCCTTGGTTGCGAACGACCGAACGGATTCAGCCGATGAAAGCCGATGCTTTTGAGAACATACATAAAATGAAGCTAACATGCATGTTCAGTTGCAAAAAGTCAACAACTGTGTGATAGGGGAAAACATGGGAAAACATCCCAAAACTTGGTGCCAATGAACTGGGAAAGGTCCAGTGACTTGGGATCTTTGATAGTCCAAAGGTGGTTGAAAGAAGAATCGAGTCTACGCGAGTTATTCTCCCATAAGGTGAGAGGGCCATGCTCAAATCAATACCAGCACAGGACTGAAGTCTCATAGGATCTCAAAAAGCCTCCACTTCAGCCACCGGGTGCAATGCTTTCTTGGCCATTGCTATAGGCCCTGCACTATCATGCACTTCAAGATCTGCAACATGATGATGACCTTTCAACTACGTCATCAGGTCCGTCCCGTCCCTATCCTGCGTCCCTGCAAAAACACGAGATAACGCGAGTGTGACTCGCTGCCTTTATCGGTGCGACTCGACTCATCGGTTCGACTTCCGAGAGGCGGTCCATGTCATTCACCATGGCAGCACAGAAGCTGTGGTGCCCCAAGGCCAAGCCGCCCAGGAGGATCAAAGGCACCTGACTCAGCCGAGAGGTGGTGTGGACATCTGTGGACGAAGCGGTGGAAGCAGCGGTGTTCTTCCGTATGGTTCCCGGTCTACCGACTGAAAGTCTGCCGGGTCAAAGTGAATCGAAATGGATGTGCTCTTTTTTTGTTGGGAATTGGGCCAGCGGGTCTCCCTATACTACAATGACATGCATCCAAATCTATCTACCCTATATATCAATGAACTCTTCCATTCCAACCTCCTGGCTTGTTCCTCCTCGAAGGACCGGCTTCCAACTTGGTCCCAACCAGTTTTGAGGAACGACTTTCAGATCCTCCCAGCTTCTTTGGAGTCTTCCACATGGCCAAAATCGCTCTCCCGCCATGCTCTCTACCCTCACTGGGTCAGCCCGGCGTTTTGATCTGCCATCACTTCCTTCACCTGCCAGCCAGGCTGGATGGGCTGGCTGTGGAATGGTTGCACGTCATGCCCGCAACTTGGAGTTACGCAGAATTCACGCAGAAAAAACACATCTAAAATTAGTTGATGAATCAAGAGCCACCTGCTCATCAATTTGGAATCATAGTAGGTCATAGGTGGTCATAGAAGATCGCCCTCGTGCGCCCTCGTGCGACGGTGACCGTGAGCCGGGCGCACTCGCGGCCTCCTTGAGACCTCGCTGGGTGTCGCTTCGTCGATGGGTGGCTTCCAGGTGCATCTGCTCCGCCTGGCAGGCCGGAACTGCCCCGCTGGGTCGATGAGACGAAGGGCATTCGTACCCGTCGACCTATATGGGGCAAAGCTAAATTGGTGGCATCCCGTAAGAAGTACGAGAAGAACAAAGACACACATGAGGCAAGAACCAAACATCAAGGGACAAGTTACAAGATGTTACAAGTTGTTCTTTTGACATCAATTTCTGAAGACACTCTGAAGCTAGAATCTTGTGCCGGGCAAGCACATGCCATATAGTTTGGTGGCTTGTAGGTAAAACTTGGAATTTCTTTGCCCTTGCCACTTCCAGATATATATCGGGCCCAACGCGCTGCGAAATAGGACACCACTCCATCACAACCGCAGGATGCAGCCCACCCTACCTACAAGCTCCGTGTCCAATGCCCCGGTGGCAAAGGAACGACCGACCAAACGACGCAAAGCCTGGCCAGTCGGTCCGACCAAACCTGACCCTGATGTTCAGGGTCCGACATGCGATGAGGAAACGTTCGACCAGGCCACCACCCAAAGTCAAAACCTACAAGACACATCAACCCCAGATGATGTTCAGGTGCCCAAATGCTACCGTATACATATATAGGAACTTGTGTACGGTAAATATGGTGTTCACCGAAGCCGGATTCTGTATTGCTTGACAGATCTGGAGGTCAATCACTTCCCTTAGACTTAGACTGCAAGGCTTCATTTCGCCCTGTAGGGGGTCACCTTGCTGTAGTTGCATTGTCGCACTTCAGGGAGGAAGTTGGGCGTGATCTGCTGCCCGGTGGCGGCTTCCACCATCTCCTGCGATCGATCTCGATCTCATCTCGTCCGGCGTCGTCCCGTGGCGGAGCCGGTGGAGGTGAGGAGGTGGGGAAGGTTTGAAGGAAACCTATCGCCCTGTTGTCGCCCTGCTGTTTTCTGCCCTCAATACTCGGACAGAAAAACGCATGGCGCCACGATGCGCCACGATGCGCCACGGCGCCACTGCTCAGCAGCCTGGATTCTTCCATCCGGTGTGTAAAAAGCATGGAGTCCCAATATCGACGTACCGTCCACCAGTGAAGATCCGTACTGAGAACCGGTCCACAATGATCTCCAAACAAGTACAGTACCGAACGCACTTCCGGGGCCCTGTCTGGAGACCTATCAGTAGGGTAGGGTAGTCTATTGGACACCCATTCATCCTGGTATGTATGACAACGTATGAAAGCGGATGTTGCTGGAGAGTTGTGGAGCTCTATGTTCTTGGTTAGTAGCTTCACTCGATTTCGTTCGAATCTCACGTTTTGCACTGTGCAACTCATCGCACGTTTCCGTGTGCATGCTCGGATTCGTGCTTGGGATGGAGGAGATTGCAAGGCGTCGAGGTTCTCCATCCCAAACACTGTAACTTTCGTGGCAGGAATTTGGAATGGACAGGGTGGCGGCCTTTAAAGGATCCGTCACCTTTTGTCAATCCTGTACCTATTTGATCCTAATTTAATTGCTTCTTCCTGCTCCCTCTTGCCAGCCGTAATTGACATTGAGATTGCTTCTCTACCCAAAACCCACGGCACCTCGGCCTTAAGACTTAAGACACAGAAAATGAACTGATCCCTAAAAAGGATAGACAAGGCAGGTTCATGTTTTATACTTGAACATTAAAAAAGCACAAAAAACATTGAAATTGTGATGTATCGTGTCTCTGTGTGTTGAGGCGCCTTTCTATTTGGTGGGGGCTCTTAGGCCCAAGCATTTTTTGGGGGGAACCCCTGGACCGTTTCCAAACGTAATCATTTCAAATCGATCGAAACATGTCAACATCCACACTGGACGGTTCATGTCTGTCGGTTCCGGAGGACAGGTGGATGTACACGTTCCGGAGGAAAAGACCATCTCTTGGGTCTATCCTACCTGTAACAGTGGATGATGATGGTTAGGTACCAGGCCTTGTCCAAAAATTGTGATACAGGGCAGACCCTAACCATCATAACCATCTCCCTCAAAAGGTGCAGTCACTGGCTAGCATTCTCTGGAGTTCATGACGCCTTGGTCAACGCACACGACTGGCACCTGGGACTGGTTTTGATTCTTGCCTCCTTGAACAAAAAGTGAAAAATAAAAAAAACAAGAATAGTTGTCCACAAAAGATGTCCAACATCCAAATCCTGTGTCTATCTTTAATGGACCAATTCTATGGGGCCGTATGACGTATGATTGAGATAAATCACCATGCCAGTGTCCTACAGTGCCCGCGCTCCTCCCAAAGCTTGAACTTGGTGGTCTCCCGGCGAAGGAGACGATGCTCTCCTTGTGAAGGAAGACGAAAGATTTACAAAAAACATCAAAAAACGAGAGAATGGCTTAGGAACAGCTCAGATGCTTGGAGCAGTTCCTTTCTGAATCCATTGCTTAAAGGTTCGGGAGCTGTGAGGTTGGAGGTGTTTAAATGTCAAAGCTCCCCAAACCTCAAAACGTGCTCCAACCGGCCGGGACTTACCGGAAACCATTGGCCATGGGCGGGGAAGTCTGAAACCCCACCGAGGGAGCTGCAAAAGGCCAACTATTGAACAACAACAACAACAACAACAACCTCAACCAACATATTCAATATCCACTCTTGAAAGGTATATTTAAGGAGGGGTGAGAGGCCATCACAAAAACACACAAAGCAGGGGTTGTTGCAGTTGCTGTAGCTTGTGGCGTTGGCTTTGACGAGAATGACTCACCATCAAACAAAACAAGCCAAGGGAGATTACATGAGATTGCCCTGTGGTGCATGCTCTTTTCAGGGTGCTCATTGCTGAATCAACCTTGGTCCACTTCCGAGTGGTTGAAGGTGCAATCATCCATATTAAAGTCATTTAAAGTCACCGCTTTCATCGCATTAGGACGTGTTATTCCTTTAGACTTCGCAGCCTGTCTCCCTCCAAGCGAGCTGCCGCTGCCATCAGCAGCAGTCACATTGACAGCGGTCGCGTAGTGTAGAATAACTGGCACAAACGGCGTGGAGGCACTCGTGCTGCTCAACAGACTATATAGTATCCATAAAAATCAATTCAAATCATACATAGCTCATTTGGATCGGTTATGATCGGTTCCTGATCAGATGTATATGGACGTATAAGGATACACATGTGATCTTACAAATGTTTTGCACACATTCTTCACCAAAAACACGTTGGCCTGAAAGGAACACCTGACGCATAGTGGACTAGAAACCTTTCCAACAGTTTCCACCCAGTCAGTCGATTCCAGACTGCTAAAACCTTCGACTAGCACCAAGAAGCAGTTAATTACAGATTGACAAGGTTGTTTCTTCCTTACCAACGTCTAACGTCAGGTCTCGCGGCGATCGCATCACCAAGCCATTTGTTTCCGGTCGGTCACCAGTGGAGTTTTAAGGCCCAACATGGCCCAACAGCTGCCAAACGCGGAGACATGGCAGGTAGGGTGATATCAGATATCATCAGATGCATCTCCCTCAAGACTTTGGAGCATCTCAGAGCTAAGAAAGCAGTGTGGAAGAAAGAGATGCGGGCACTGATCTAGTCAAACGGTTTCAAACGCAATTGGTTGTTTGAGGATAGACTGTGCAACTTGAGAGTTTTGCTGTGCTCGTTTATGGTGGTATATGTTGGTACCTGGTACTGGTATGTACTGGTTGGTCATGTCCCCAGCTCCATTAGAAGCGATCAGCATACAGTACCAGTATAGACCACTTAACTTGACAAAGATTGGTCTTGAAATGTCTTGAAGAAGGCCTTTTGGAGCAGTTCTTGGACATCCTTGGGACTTGGGCTGCGGGCCCGTGAGTTCCAAGCAATACTGACCACCGCCCTGCAGCGAGACTGGGATAGTTCTCGACCGTCCTTCGCGATTGTATCAAGCCGCCAACCCAGCGGTAAAAGGCGGTCACACATCTCGAACCGAATCAAACCCGCGGGTCCCGTGCCCTTTTTGCTGGCCCCCCTTTAGTGTCCTGCGGGCCACTCCGACACCCCCTTGTTTTCCGGTCAACGCAAACGCACACGACCACCCACCCTATCAGGTGAAGTCATCACACCAATCAGGTGATAAGAGCCGGCGAATTACCAAGTTGCATCCCATGTCGTGTGGGACACGTGCTACATCCCACATGATCATCCCGTGCTACATCCTACTTGCCTTGGCCTGAAGGCTCTCGTTATGTGGTGACATGTCATGTCATGTGACATCTATGGGACTGAATTCAAGCCCAGGCTCACAGTAAGTACAGTAGTAGCCACCTCAAGATCACCCCCAACCACCATCGCTGGCCGGTAGTTTCTGAGCTTGATCCCGGTTGCAACTCAGGGAACCTGCGAATTTGCCTGGACGTCGGAGCAAACTTTCCAAATCGGATCTTCTCAATCATGCAGCATCCATGTCAATACCATTCAATACCCAATCTAATGGCCAGCTTCTTCAAAGTGACCTTTGACAGGCCAACGTGACTTCAAACCAGGAGATGTTACAAGGTTACTATTAAAGAAGCTGGCAATCAATGCATTTGTCATGATTGCTGGGGGGGTCCAAGTAAGATGTTGATGTTCCAAATATACTCCAAGGATGCCTCGGACCCCATGGTTGTCCCATCACTGTTAGCTCAACAGCTCTGCCGTCAGCGGAGAGGTGTGGCCCTCGAGGGGCAGTGTCTGTGGCCCTCGATGTTCTGAAGGCTTTCTTGCACATCAAACACTCCACGGGACTGGCATATTTACATAATTTTACATTGACCCCAGGTCAATCACCCCAATGGGGCGGTAAATATGCCAGTCCTATGGGTCGTGTTTGGCTTGGAAAACGCCACTCAAAAAACGTCATGGCACCAGGGCGGGTGTTTTCCCCACCAAACGACCTGAACCCAAACCAAACGACCTGGTGGTGAAAGGGGCCATGACCAGTCCCGGTTCGCCCACAGCAGGCGCGAGGCTCCACCCATGGCGATGATTCTGTTTCTTCAGCTGGGATGGATTGGTTCCGATAAACTGAAGTCCTGAAGAGATGGATTTCTGAAGTGATGATTCCTCCAGCATGCTCCGGCTGGCCGACCAAAATCTGCCGCATGTGGACGGCCAAGAGTCTCATGCAAGCGGCTGGTTTAACCAGAGCTCAGACCTGAGGCTCACCAGGTGTGCTTCGATGATGCACGCTTTGCTCAATATCCGTTGGATGCGTCCAACCCATGCGGGACTGTTGCAGAGTTTGTTGGGGGTGCTTCTGAGGCCTCTGGTGCTTGGGGCTTAACACATGGCCCCCATCCGCTAGCGGACTCACTCCGGTCGGATTCCGGAAGATTCGTGCCAGACCCCCCCAGCATCCCTGCAAAACAAGTCTTTCTGCACCAGCCAGAATACATTCTGGGCTGCAATTACATGAGAACTCAAAGTATTTCAATTGTCTTCAACTCAGATTCCATTATATACAGAGTAGATTCCTAGATCGCCCTAGCTATAGCATGATATGGCTATAGAATACAATATTCAGCTGCTTCAACTTCTGTTTTGTGCACCTCAGGTCCTTAAAAATCTTGGGGCCATCCATGCCCGTGTGCGCTTGGCAACCGCTAAGAGGGCCGCTCTCCGAGCGAGTGGGTCTCTCATCTTTGCAGATCACAAGCATTTTCAGGAACGAACATGGAAGGAACTCCTTGGAGTCCGTCCAGGGCCACAAAAAAAAAGGGCCCAAATTCGATCCCAGCTATGGAAGGCAGGTATGGGTTTCCGCATCAGGGGCGGTTCCAATTTGTCTATGTGTGTTTTGTTGCATATGGAGTGCACTCCAACAACACTAGGGTGACGCAACGATGTGATTTCAAACCGTCGTGACCATGTCGTGACCTTCTAGGCTATGCTGCAATGACCGGAATTCTATTGGATTCCCCCATCAAAGAATTGCTTCCAGATGTCTTGTTGAAAACCTCTGCAAGACTAAGGGGGAATCCAACGTCTTTTGTTTGTACAAGACTGGATGGCGTTCACTGCAATTCGTCATGTGTCACTTGCGACGGCAAGGATGGTACATCATCCTGACCGGAGGCTGCTCTGACCAAAGACTGATTGGTGACACTTGCCTGGCCAGTTTCGAACCTATAGAACCGTAAGCTTTCTGCACATCAGCAATGACATGGCAGGTGTCTGGTTGGTGGGGACTCGCTAGAAACTGCTAGTATCCTGTTTCGGGTCATCCTGAGTGTCACGCACTGGGGGGTGTCATGCAACAGAAGTCAAAGTACCTTGTGAGGAGGTACGTCGTTGGTCTAAACATTTGCAACTAAGACCGGCTGTCCGATCTGATTTCAGGCCTTTTTCTCTTTCTCAAGGTCGTGATCCCATTCAAGTGGCACATCCAATCATATATATATATAATAACAATACAATGTTTGATTGTATATAATAGGTTCCACATCCTACAGCATTCTAACATATATTCCAACCAGCATCTCCCCTTAACGGACCCCAGGTGCAGGTCAAATTTGGAAAAATGCCCTCCCTCAAACAATCATGGAAGCGGAACAATTGATTCTTGGAAGGCCATTCATCCATACGTTTCCTGTACCAGGACGGTTAAACCTTCTTGTTTGGATCATATGACCTTGGGTCATGGGCCAGCTTGGAGGGTCCATCTGCCTTCAGAGTATGCCAATCTCCACTTCTGGAGGGAGATTTGGCTGTGGGTCACGTGGGTCCACCTTGCTTGATCTAAGTGGGAGGTCAAGCTACAGGTTTTGACCCACCCACCTCCCCAGCAGCTTTGTCAAGCTCCGGCTGCTTGATCGGCCTCGGACACGGAGCGGCCTTCGGCCCGCGCTCCGCGTGCATCGACATCGATCGCCGGACATCCCGAGCGATGTCTGAGCACCGGTGCACCGTTTTGGTTCCACCTGATCGTTTTGAGTGGGGTGCCCCTAAGAACCCACCAAAGAAGTTATATAAAGATCGAAAAGGACGTTAAAGGATGTTAAAGGTGATGCGCTAACTGGGGAAGGATCCCAACTGAGTGGCTCGGCTGGGTCACCAGTGCTTCCAAAAGGATAAAATGAAACAACATCCCACCAAGGGACATGCTGTTTTCATTGTGTTCAACGCATGGGGATGTTGGACAAAATCAGAATCAACTTTCCTGAGTCCATGTGGTTTGGTTAGAGCTCTCTCTCTCTCCTGTTTCGCAAAGAATGCCGGGATTGGAAGCTCCAAAACCTTTCCACTTGAGGGCCTTTGGGCTCTCAAAGAACACTAACGACTTGTGGGTGTACTGTATTAGAATAGCAAGGCCCCAGATCGATCCCCTGGAAGAAAGGAAATAGACCAAAAAAACTGATGGGTTGGGGTTCTCCATATTGAATACACGCCCATGTAGCTTTGAGTAGTGATGAGGCAGTTCACGGAACACGCAAACGTCCAGGGAACGGACTTGAGCCGCGTCTTTCATAATTCTGTGGTTTCCCAGGCCCCTAAATCTGGGCCTTCTTCGAAAGGCCCAATTTCCCACAAATGTCCTTGATTTCGTACCAATGCCCAACCCCCAAACCTGAATCAAAGCACCCAACCTCATCCAACCCCCACGTTCCATGCTGGGACCCCCCACGTCAGGCTCTCTGACAACGTCATTCGCGGCGAGCTCGGCGGCGAGGGCCGCGCCAGCGCCGCGGCGTTCGCGTTCCCCGCCATGGAGCGCCGCGCCATGCGGAGCTTCGTGAGCCGCGTGACGCGGGTGCGGCGCCGCGCTTCGGCGAGGACGCCGCGCGACGCGGCGATGCGGACCTCGGGTGAGTTGAGGCGGACGTGCGGGGTGGCCAATGGGGAGGGCTTGCAGTGAATACAAGAAACAGGCCTCCGGAATTATAGTACCTGTTGCTGTCTGCTCTCAAAAGCGAGTATGAAAAGCAAGGATTGTGAACTGACCTTCTCTCCAGCGTCCTTGACGGCATGGCTTGTGGAACAGCTGTTATCCTCAACCTCCACGAAACCAT